ACATATGAAAGTATTTCAACAGAGTGAAGAAAACAACATTCAGTGATCTTCAACACTTTGAAAAAAATAATCTGATTTAAAGCTCACCGAGAAAAAAGTAAGCTTATTCTTCTCAGTGAGCTGTGGGTCAGGCTGAAAGGCTCTTGATAGTACTGTCCTCATAAAAGGTAGCTCATTATTTTACAGGTTAAAAAATACATTTTCGCATTTTATGTTTCTGCATTATGTGCCATTTGACAAACATCCAAAGTAATATCTAAAAAAATTAAATATGGAGTGACAATATATCTGACCATTATAAACTGGTATTTCTGTGCCTTACAGATGCAATCGCTACAATAGGAGACTGTTAGCCTGAAAGTTTCACCCAATGTTTTGTTCAGAGCTCTTTGCCATATATAGTTTATAGGATTATATACATTAGTGCCAACACCCATTTGATGGATTTCAGCTCCAGCTGTTATACAGTCACCACAAGCACTTGATGAAAGGAACAAACTAAAACTCTCAGCATCTGATTTTCTAAAAGCTAAGAGGACAAAAGTTTACTTGCCCAACTCCATGGAAAGTCCTCTGTAAAATGAAAATTTTTCTGCAATCTAGAAATTACTTATTACAATAAAATAATCTCACATTTCCAGAGTCTGAATGTATTCCACAGCCAAAGAGCAGTTTTAAACCTTATTATAGCTAACTAGATTAAAAGCAAATATTCAGTACTAAGAATATAACTTGAGTTTATAAAAGCTTTTAGTTACATGGACAAAAAATTTCCTTTTTAATTATCTTCATTATCCTTACCATGTAGTAAGACATTTAATGTACAATTAAATATAATGTAAGCACATTACAACATTCAATATTCAAACACTGCAGTTCGGTTCACAGCTTGGTCTTTAAAATCAAAACAAAGAACCAAGTTTAAAAAAAAAAATAACAGAGCAGAATATTAAACCACTTTTTGTTCTTATCAGCAACAAGAACTTTTCCTGCCCTTAAATGCATCTTGCTTTATTCTAGTTTACTATTGTGTATCTTATGCACATGTCTTCTAGCAATTTACATGCCTGAAGTTACTTAGCAGTGGCATTGTGTTTTATCACAATGTATGGACACTGAATCTAAAAAGCAACATTCACACAAAAACAGTCTCTGCAAACATACTACTCAGACATAGGATTTAAGAACGCTTTGCCCAACTTAATATAATATATAAACTAATTATCAATTGAAAGATCATTTTCCAGCCAGTTGGATTTTGCAATGAAGTAACACAAAATCTGTGTTATTTTACAGTAGCAAAGTAACTTCACCCCTCCCTTACCTTCAATGTAAAGGAATAATCTATCCCTACCTTGGGAAATAATGCTTGAATTTAAATATGCTAAGCAAGTTTTGTGCTCCTATTGATGCAAAGACCTTCAAAAGAAGTATCTATACATTCAGAAATTATAACACTGTCGGAAAAGAGCTTAGATGACACTTATCTACATTTGCAATAAGGACTAATATAGAAGAAAGATAACACAAAATGTACACTTAGTATTAAACAATAATGGTAATTCTTAGCATTGCAGCTTCTGTCTGCAGAAGAATTCTCTAACACTTCATAAAACACACCACGAAATAGGTCCATCATTCACGTACAGGCCAAATTTTCAAAAACAATTTACTTCTTTGAGCATATCAAAAGTTATCAGCACCCAAAGGTGCCATTCAAATTTATGTCTGTTCTACAGCTGTGCAAATAGGCAATGCTGGACAGCCAAAACAGGCAGGCAGGCAATGGCATGAAATGATCTATGAAAAACTGACCAAAACATCTACCTGCCAATTCACAAGATGTGACACTTCCAAGCACTTTAGAGACACAAAACTTACTGATATAATTTAAAAATCATGGTGAGTTTTGTCCTAACCAGTTACCACTTTGGACAGTGATAAGATAGGTATTTCAAACATTACACTTTTCCCCCCCACAATGCTATGCAAAGCCAACCACTTCTCTTGACACTTTGGATTTCTTGCACTGCCCCCCAAAATGAGAGTTATATCAAATTAATTAACTACCCATCTTTCTCCTCTTTTTTCCGTTCCCAATCATTATGGAGAAAGACTTGTAGTATTTCCCTTCCTACTGTCCTTCAAGGAATTTCTACAGAGCTACATTTCTCTTTCCTTTTCACAATGTGACACAATATAAATCAATTTGGGTTGGAGAAAGAGAATCAGATTTCGATTATGTGAGAAACTGATATCTGCATAGTTGATAGGCTTCACAGATTTTCCCAAAAGCATTGAGATAATCAACTCTCTGGCTAAAAATCTGGAAAACAGGGAGCCACAATGTCTGTAATAACGCTGACAACATACCAGCTAGGAAAACTTAAATGCATCTTACCATCCTAACTTGAGACTGAACTGAGAAAACAAACATTCTAAATTAATATTTGAAGTAATTGATTGGATTATTTTCATAAAGTTGGGGTTTGGTGTTGCATGCTATTACCTTGCACCATTTAAAAAAAATTACAAAATAAGACAGTCAGTAAAAATTCAGCACTACATAGAACACTCATTTCGCAGGGCAGAGTATTTTCTGAATACTTACACTGTAATATTTTCTGAGATAGCGTCTAATATCCAGCAGTAACTTGTTGTTCATTTGAACCACAGAGTTGAAAGGAGGCTCTTCACATTCAGTCTTACTGCACCTTTGCAGGCTGGGTTCAATAAATCGCCCCTGAAAGCAGAAGTGTAAAAACAGCACATATCATTACAACAGATGATGGTGGCAAAAGTTAGCACAGGAGTTTAGATATATATGTATTTTTAAAAGTAATAGTCTTAAAAGGCCTATAATATCTAAGTCTTCTTTCTTCCCATCACAGCTGGCCACACCCATATGAAGATACCTGTGACCCACAGTTTTCCCATTTTCTTAATGAACAGTCTTTTGGAGAGCATGATTCTTCACTTGCCACAACGTTAATAATTCAAAAAAAGATGTTGTGGACAAATCATGCTCAAACAACACAGGTTTGCTGTTTTATCAGGGACATCAAAGTTCTGCCTCATTCCACTGATCAGAACATTTAAATCAAACTTATAGGTACTAATTGTGAAATTACCAACGAGGCTGTAGAGCCAAATCTCATTAAACAAGAATCACATGATCATCTTTTATTTCCTCCAGGTTCAAAGAATAGCTCTTACAGTTTTGCCCCAACCCATTCCCTTACTTTCAAGACCAAATTGCTGTGTAAACAGCTGAAATTAAGTTAGTTGAATTCTCATTAATACAGGAACAATCTGGTAGGCTGGACAGTTATACAACTTTTAGAAAACTTTCTTTCAAGGTAAGACTTAGCTGTTGTGAGACATCTTGGCTAAATCCCCACCCACAGCACTAAGTTGGAATTCTAGGTGGAATACATTTTTCCCAGGAAAAACATAGGGGGTTTTAGTTTGGTTTCAGAATTTTTGTTGTTTGGTGGTGGGGATATTTTAATTTTTTAAGAGTTTGACATCCACTTCTCTCCAGTTAGCCCATCTGCAAGTTGTCAAGCCTACATGCAATTAACTGTCTTATTTACAGCTGCAATGAACAAAAGTCAAGGATTCACAAAGTATCACTCGATTTGTATGTCCTTTCCTCTTACTTGCTTCCAAAGACTGCTCTATTTTGATTCAAAAAAATGAAAAACATCTGCTGTTTGTCCAAATTAACTTAAAATAATTACTTTTAATTTAGATAAAAGATTTACTTGCTTTCAGTTTCAAGGTTTTCACTACTCTGAAGCTCACTAATTTGCCAGTGACTAATGCATACATAACATCGCTGCAGAGTTAAATACTTGGCCCTCTTTCAAGTTGTGATCCAAGGTCAGAGATACATTTTTGGCAGAACTTCTCAACAAGAATGTACCCCTGACTTTTTATGTTCAATTCACAAAGACAGAAGATAACACAGAAAAACCTTACTGCCAAGAAGGGAGGTGGGATGCAGCAAGATAAATACAAGGTTAAAGAACACTTTGTTCCAATTAATATGATTTAGGATAAGAAATTGCCATTGCTCTAAGAAAGTTATATTAAATAGAGAACTGGAAGTTACTAAGGTGTTACGATAAGGATTCTTCAACAAAGTTACAGCAACAATCATTCAGGACTGTGGGCAAACAGATTAATGAAGCCAGATAATCTCACATGTTCCGCTAGACAACACAGCTGAAATGCAAAAATGGGGAAAATATTTCAGCACTATCCTATCAGCAAATTTCTGTTCCAAAGCTATAAATAGTGGGACTGAAACAATATGGTATCTTCTCCTGCATCATATGAATCCCATCTGAACAGCCGTTCTCTCTACAAATATTTTTCTCCCTCACCGATGAGCAGAAATGAAACAAAAAACCAACTAACCGAACCATCAAAGACATTGTCATAAATATTTTCTGTTCCACATTTGAGGCAGCAAAACTTGAATCTTTCGCAATCCCTATACTTCTCCTCATCAGTGAGCTGAGCTGGGCCACCAACCAAGGCATCATTCTCCTCATCTTTATGGTAACAGTGATGGACTCTGAATTGGGAGGGATCCAGTCCTATTAATAAGAAACAAAAATTTCAAAAGACTAAGAGGTCAACCATGCAAGCAGCTTATTTTTCATATGCTTGGTGAAGCAGATTCAAAAGAAAGTTACAAAATGTAAATTCAGAAGCTGAAAATCTCTCCTTAGCAAAACTTCCTCTATAAAACAGATTCCACAATTTTTAACCATGAATAAAGGTTCACAAAACATGAAGAAATCTTACTTATCTCCTTACGCAAGATTGCTTTATAAATAAAACAAGCACACTGCATTATCAGGGGAGTATGCACGGGAACATTTTGTTTCTGAGGAAACCACTCCTAACGGATAGCTTTATTGTTATTTTCTTAAGTTACATAGAAAATATTTCTATAAAAATGTGCATGGTTATTAAGCAAGAGTCTTTAAATCAAAATGGCACCATTAAAACCAAAAACAGAGGATAAAAACCCCATTAAAGAAACGCGGGTGCACTGCTATTACCAACTCCTTCAAGTCCGTATACAACTGCCAACTCTGATTTCAATGCAGTGGTCGATTTCATTTTGGCTCAGTGGTTAACAGCATGTAGGTTTCAATCTAATGCAGTGGTTAAAATTCAGCAGCAGCATTTAAAACGGCAGCGCTGGAGACAAAATGCTTTATTTTTGATTGCCAGAACTCAAGATTTTAAACAAATAAATACACAAAAGCGATCCTAAAAATACTGATTCAACCACAAATAAGTAAATAAGCAAGTAAGCACGAAGTTCACTGCCCTAGCAATAAGACTGCCAAAGTAAACTTAATAAAAATCCACGGGTTTTGTCACCCTTTGTCATGTGCAACCTTTTAAAAGTCCATGCATCTCATTTACAGTTTTTTTTGTTAACTCTGGCAAATAGCACATGTTAGGAAAAAAAAAAAAAATAATCGAATGAGCATGTCGAAGCAACATGCAGAAAACTAGAGCTTACTTTATTACTAAGAAAAGATCAGAGAAGCACTTTAAAAAATATTTTTAACAGTCAAAAAGTAAGCCAGTAGCAGATTTCCATGGATTAACCCACATCTTGTACAACTTCCAGTAAAAAATGTAATAATTCCAACAGAAAGTGCAAGAAAGACTACAAACAGAAAGTGAAGCTTAACCTTACTACACTGTACTGTGAGACTTAATGTTTGGGAATAACACTCAAACTACACAAATATTACTGCACTCATAAAATAGTTATGTTACACATGCAGATACAGATTATCTTTACATAAAAGAACTGGTAAGTCTGACTTCACCATTGCTATTCTGAATTTCTATTTTGAAGTCATGAAACAAATTCAAGGACAAGGAAAAAATAAGTTTATTTGGTTCTTGACAGAATAGGGATTTCATCAAAATTTAATCAATCTTCCCAATTTCAATTTTACCAAAAGAAAAAACTGTCAGTGCATAAGGGTAACAATTCACCTGCAAGAGGTTCTTAAACTTCTAATACAGTTCTGTACTATTGATTAAAAGAAAGAGCAAACAAAGCAGGAAACACTAATAGCTTATTTTACACTCTAATACAAATGGTACTCCAAAAAAAGGCTGTGGCATTTTGGTTTTATGAGTTGGGGTTTTTTTTATTTTGTTGTTTAGGATTTTGTGTTTTGGGGTTTTTTTGTTTGCTTTTTTTTTTAATAAAGGGTTGTTAATCTACCTGCTGTTTTTCAAAATAGTATGTGGTGCAATACACAGGTAGGAAGTTTAGTAGTATATCTAGAAAGAGAACTTGAGTTTAGTATTCAGAAAAATAAAAAAATTGAAAAAAAAAAAATCAAGCATGCAGTAGGTTGGATCTAAGGTAGTAATGGTGAAGACAAAAATTTGTGGCTTACTCTGCATTCAGAAGTGGAAGGAAAATAATCATTGCAACTTTCTGATACAGATACCATTAAAGTTCAGATAGAAATCTGTCTTTGGTTGTTTCCCAAAAGACAAATACAGAGCAAAGAAATTCACTACAAGGAAATAAATTCTGGTCTTCAGACAACTGCAGTTTTCTAACATTCAGTCAAAAACAGTGACAGTAAATCCTATTCTGGTCATTTACTAACAATTTAAGAGAGAAAAAAAAATTCATTGTGAAAACTTAAATCACACCTATCTCAAAACTTTCCCAGCTGTTTTGGCTAGAGAATACAACAAGAAAAATATTGTGCTGAATCAAGCACACATCTAACTTTTGGTGTGCAAACAGCCACAGCAAAATAAAAGGGACTACAAATCAGGCTTTTAAAGAACATGCCTACTTTAATTATCTTGCGGAATTGGGACCTATTTTATCTATTATCTCCTTTCAGGACTAGTTAGTTGGTTCAATTAACCCATTTCAGCACACTAACTGGTATTCTCTCACACCAGGTCACCCTGGTCATATTGTTTGGCTTGGTAAACAAAACAGGAGCTATCTGCTTGGGAGGGGGATGGAAAAAATAATATCTGGTGCTCGCAATTTTTAAGTGAATAGGATGAGACTAATTAGTGAACTTTGAACTTTTTTTTTTCACATAACATCATGAAAAAATAAAACCCCAAGGGGGAGTGAGTTAGTCTGACATGACAAACTCTCGGGGCTGTCACTGAATTTACCTGCAGTTCAGGTAAGGCTCTCCAACCTCACCCAAACCGCGGCACCACCAACGTGCCGGTCAAAGCAGCGTGGCCAAGGTGAAGAATAGAACTCAGTTCCAGGATTTGATCCTGAATTATTTAATAGAATTATTAAAACATTTACTAACTGGCAAGCACAGCAGTTCACTCGAGAACCTGGATACAAACAGAAAGGTCGAACAGGTATTTTCCCGAGCGCAGCATTTCAAGGCTAACAGCGCAGATGTGTGCGCGGGGTGCAGGGGGAGGCAGGAGGGTCCCGCGCGCTGCTCC